CCCCAAAACCCCAAAACCCCAAAACCCCAAAACCCCACTTTGATAAAACTTAATAGAATAAAATTATAAAATGGACATTTCCATCGTGGAGAAAACGTTGAAATTTACGAAAAGTAGTTTCCAAAACTAATATTTAGAAAATAATCGGTTGAAATATCCGCCATATGATAACATAAAATTGTCAGAGCTGACTCTGAGATCACCGCTTAATCAAGACAACTTGCTGTTCAAAGACATTTACAAGAACAAAATTAACGAAAAGATTGGAAGTATCAAGCGGAAAAGGCAGGCTTCTACAATCAGTGACCTAAATGGTAAGCCCCACGAGCTGATAGTGTAGGCCTCATGGTTAAAGGTCACGAATCCTTGCCACCAAAATCTGATAATACTAAGATGGCTAAAGAGCCAAATGCTTCAAAAGGATCATATAGAGAAAAGTTGCCTAAGATTAAAGAAAATGCTCACTTTCATCTCCAAAACGAAACTCCCATTAAGGGATCTGGTGGCCAAATTTTTCAAATGAGGAGTTCAAATCTTAACAAGCTCATCGAGCGGGGCCTGTTTGTTTGTCAATTAAACGGTAATTACAACCCATTGTCATAATTTAGAGGCTCAGTCTGCTAAAAAGACTTCAGATTCCTTGCAGAATTATTATAAATAAATCCCAAAATAACAGAAATTACAGGATTAAAGACCAAAAATAGTGAATATTTCACGCAAACTAGTCACAAAATAATAGATCTGAGCAACAGAAATGTAATTTTTGAGACTTTAAATATAGCCGCACACAAGGTCTCGGTCTCCTTTCAAGAGTGCTAGCAAGGGATCCATCAGGAAGGGATCCAATGTGGCTAAAAATAGGGAAAATGGGATAAGATCAGTCAAAACTGATGTCAAAAGTGGGTTTATTCCTATGATAAATCAGTAATGTCAGCCTAGAAATAGCTATAGCAATTCTGTTACTACCAATAATAATGACTCGATTCAAGAAGGTCTAAACTCAGGGATTGAAGAGAGTAAAGGAAACCTCAAGCCTAATACAAAGTAAGATGACTGTTTCATTTCTAGAGAGTCATCCGCAGCCAAAGATAGGTACAGAGGAACGAGGAAGGGGACCAAGAATAGGAAGAAAGACATAGGTTTGGTGCAAATATCAATAAATAGTCTCTCTAAACCAGCCCTTTACACCGAACAAGATCTATATTGACAATGGATCTGGTGTTGATACGGTAATTCACAACTTAAATTCGGTTTCAACGAGAAAGTTTGGGTCGCCGATAAACGGGCCAATCCTGCGTCAGGACCTTGGGTTTATTTCAGGACGTAAGTATTGCCTTGTGATTATAGAACGATATATTCACTCAAAATAGAGTTGTGGAGGAGGATGACCTCCAAAATTTGCTTACTAAGTAAGGAGAAATTAAAAATATCACTTTCAATACACATAATTTGCACTCATGAGTACTGTAGAGGCCGGATAAATTTCCCTCCGATTCTTGAAAAGCAACTAGAAAGCAAGGTTAAGCAGAGCATGGAAATTTTCCCTACCAAGAGAGGTGGTCGCCATCGGCCCAGAGGCGCAGAAGATCACCAGTTGTTGATAAAATAAGTTAGACACTCGCTTAACTAACCTAAAAGATGTCTTAGCCCAGGATGAGCCCAGTGAGAGGAGGATGAAATCTGAATCTTTACAAATCTCAGAGAAGATAAAACTCCCTTGAAAAGATAAAGATTGTAGCGAAAATCCCTCTAAGCTTCTTAAAGTCATCAAATTTCGTCACAAAGGACGGGAATATTACCAATCAAAGGCTGAAGAACGGATCCAGAAGATCCAAAAAGCTAGCCTAGCTCAGTCTAAGCATAAGGAAGTGGTTTCTCGTGGGGTTCATCAGTTCTGTACGGACTCTGCATTCAACACATTGTTACGTAATTTCAACGATTTCATTACAATGACTAGCAGAAAAGCGAATTCTAGAGAGGAGGCTAACATAATTTCAGAGGCAAGCAAGAAGTTAGGAGTAAAACCCTTAAAGAATATGTTTCTTGACTACTACTCTTCAAATGAGCTTATCGAAGAAGTCCGGAATAAAGTCCTTGAAAGTTTCCTCCGAATCATTAATAAACAAAACCATGTTTCTGAGTCAAGAGAAGATGAAAAACAAGATAACCAAGGGAAGCAGAACAACGGCTTCAAAGCCTTCATTCAAAAAGGTAACCATGGAACTATCGTTAAAACTATACTTAACAGGAGATCATGGTGGTCTATTCAAGACTCCCACGATGAGAATTATGAGACTACTGATTTCATATGGACTCAATGGATTAAACAACCGATTGTGGAAAGTCTCCCAATAGAGCCTACTGAGGATCCGCCTATAAGAACTTATGGAAAATTAGAGGGGAACTTCAATTTGTCAAACAAGAACTCATTGACAAAGAATCTGACTAGTTATTATGAAGAGGCTGGAGAAGACGCCACTGAGAACATCCCTCTAACTTTCCTTGTCTCTGGAGGTAGCACAGACTCTTCATTCACTAGTTTTGAACAATATTTCACAAAAATTTCTGAAAATTCCATACAGGAGAACAAGTGGATCTGAAAGCCGGGAGAAAATAGCAACAGAGGCCAGCACATCTGTGTCCTGGACGATCTCAAGCGGATCAGTGAGTACGTTAACACAGGTGTGAGAGCGTGATACATTATTCAGAAATATATCAGTAACCCTCTTCTGATCAACAAGCGTAAATTTGACATCAGGTGATTCTCCCTTTTGACCTCTATAAATGGGCAAAATCATGGTTTCTTCTACCAAGACGGTTACCTCAGGACTGCTTCAAAGGAGTACAACCCTGACAACCTAGAAGACAAATTTGTCCATTTAACAAACGACGCTATTCAAAAATAAGTCAGAGGATTATGGAAAGTACGAGAGCAGTAATAAATTGTCCTTTCAGGATTTTGAGAAGTATTTGGAGCAGAATTACCCTAACCAGAATTTGGATGGACATGCGTGATTTTACACACATATTTATCCACAGATAAAGAAGCTAGTCAGAGATACATTTTTAGCAAGTGAGGGGAAGATTAACCCTAAAAAGAGGTCAAACTGCTTTGAACTATTCGGCTATGATTTCATGGTGACTGATGATTTCAAGGTGTATTTGATCGAAGTAAACACCAATCCTTGCCTCGAGACGCCATGATCGCTGCTGTCGAGGATAATCTCGTCGGTATTAGATAATTCTTTTAGGATAGCCCTGGACCCATTAACGTACACTCATAATAACAAGATGATCTTCCTGGGTGAGTCAAATAATAACTTGAGTAAGTTCGAACTTGTTTATGCAGATAATCAGACCTAAATATTCCTAATATTTCAGTTGAATGTTTATTCGTAGGGGTTTTGGGGTTTTGGGGTTTTGGGGTTTTGGGGTTTTGGGG